TTCAAGAACTGTGCACACTCAGAGGATTGGGGCAATCACCTAGAAGAGGATGGCTCACAACGATGAAGCCAGCGTGAGTCACATCGCTTTGATCTCAGGATCTGCCGTCATTCTTCCAGAAAATATTGGGAATCATCCCTAGTTCGAAGAGATAGTAACTCTTTCTGATTTTTATTGGAGCAACCCAAATAGATTAAAATGACAAAATGCAAAAAAATTCTCACAAGCTCGAGGTGCGCCGCATCTCTCTTACGCATGAGTAATGACAAAAGTTTCGACACAAACTTTTCTTAGCGACCCACACATAGTCGGAGGCAGTTGTTGGCAAAAAATGAGAGCAAATCTCCGAGATAGCGCCTAGTTAGCAATAGACTTTACCTCGAACGTGTGGCAGTTTGTGACGGGGTAACACCCAAAAGTGCAGCTCCATTGGAGTTCATCTTCCACAAGTGTTGAAATTACCTCGAAGGTCTTGCAAGAGATCTAAACGAGGTACGGTTAGTTGTTCTGGATTCACGAGCATTTCGTTCAAGAACCGTTTGCTCTTCAATGAAGCTGGGCTCCCTAACACGCATTCAAATCGACCGAAGTCATCCTGGGCCCTGACTTCCAAAGTCACTGGAGTAAGGATTTGTGACCTTCCTCCTCGCCCTTAACCCGATGGACTCCTCCATGTGAGACGTTGTTAGAGCAAGACCTCATAAGAGTTCTTTAGCTTGATGGGTACTTTGGAGTTAGCGCTTCAGAAGAAGGTGGAACGACAGACTTTATCTCAAACGTCCGCCGTTGGCTACCTGCGGCGCACTGCTGATTTTGTCGTTGGACGTCAGAAGCCTCTCTTATCAAAGCAGCTCGTCAAATCAATCCGACTAGGGATGCCACAACAAAAAGACTTAGCCCATGGCGCACATCATCGAACTTTTCGTCACACAGGGAGCCGATGTTAATGAAAGTTTTATGGCGTTATATTCCTTAGTTGTTCCTCCGTAAACAGAAGCAAGCACTCCTTCACTGCCCCTGCCGTCTCCAGAATATGACGTCATCTGCCGTCACCGTCGAGCTCAACGAGGCTTACCGAAATCGCTCCGACCTGAAGCTGCTACACAATTCCTCAGTGAATTAATTGTTGAATAGCTTTCCAGAGAATCTTGTAGTGACGTCAAAACGCTTTTGAATCGTTTCAGATGGTAGTAATCTATGGTATCTCGAAGGCCTCGTTGAGCTCGTACCGTGCACAATGCTTCCGTGGGAAAATCTTCTGATGTCGTCGGTGTAGAAGGCTGTTGTGTAGCTTGTTGATAGATTATAACGTGCTCTTCAATATTCAGTTGGGGTCATTTGGTTTGGTTTCGCGACGCGTAAATAATTCCGTTTTGAATGTTGAGTGAAGTGTCTCTTTTTTTGGCCACCCCTGTATAGTGTACTGTGCTGATATAGACGATTGCTTTGTACTCTGTTGAACTGAAAACGAAGTGGACCCGTGGCTATGGAACTGCTCAATACACAAGCAGAAAACATCAAGTTCTCACGTGAGAGGCCAAAAAAGTGGCTTCCCTTCTTCAATGTACAGGTTCTGCTTGGAAGGGGGTTCTTTCGGACCAAATGGTACCGGGAACCCAGTAATAAATCATCTTGGTACACTTTAGGTCGGCGCATCCCCTCAAAACAAAACGATCTATCACAAACAACATGTTCAGGACGGCTGCCTTGGTCTCATCAGGAAGACAGGAGAAAATGGACTCCTTGGAGTGATGGCAAAGAAGATCGCGCTTTTAACGGTTATTCCCTAAGACGATCCTATCGGACCACGACTAGAACGAATGGCCACGTCGATGTTCGGAGGCAGTACGTCTACATAAGCGAAAAGTCGTATATCAAAGGGATGCTGATATGAGCTATGCTAAGGTGGCTCTGCACGAGTGGCCTAGAGGACACGGTACGGGTAATCGAAGCCTCCCCTCCCCCCAACAACTTTAAGCAGCGATTGGTTCAAAACCGCTGCTACGATCGACCTTGCCTGAGACCCCCCCCCATTGCGTGATCTGCCCTAACGGATGGGAGAGTGAATCTGCATGACGTCAGGCGTTATCTACCTAATCTATGAAGCTTGTCAGGACAAATATATCGGCGAGACTGGGCGACCCCTATGCGCGAGTAAAGGAGACCCCTTGGGTGCCAACCGCGTACAACCAATGAAGGTGTTTCATTTGTAGTCACGGTTAGAATCCCTCTGAGGAAACCCCTCACTTCGGCACGCAAAACGCCAGGTCGCCCTAAATGAAAGGTAAAGACGACGTGCTGGAGCTCGAACTTAACGGGCTCGGCATTTTGCCTTGTGGCTTGTTGCGCCGGCGTTTCTGCGAGAGGGCCTGGTCATCTTGAAGCTACAACGGATGAGTAGCTAGTGCAGTGGTCGTACAGCCGGTCGCTGTTAGGGTGAGCCCAAGTGTTTGTGTGTTGCGATGATTCTTGAAAGCCAGGTGAGAGTTTATGGGCATGTTGTTGAAGGTTTTAAATGAGTTGTCTGGGAGATGAGTCGCCTAATACTCGGTCTTCGAGGCTGACGAAGCGACAATGCCGACCAGATCGGGCAGAAACAAGGACACTACCGTACCAGCTACATAGTTCGGGTCCTAACAAGGACATTCCGAAACGTCAGCGATAGTTTTCTAAAAACCCGTGAGCGATTCACGATGAAAAAGCAACCCATTTCAAATTAACCTAGGGATGGTGAGTGGTACACGAAAGAAGGAAAACCATGAGAAACGGCCCAGAACCCGAGAAATGGGACCCCTTCCTTGCCCGTTGATTTGAGCATTGATGCGACTATCATCGCTGTGCCCTCTTCAACGCTACGCTCTCTCACCTATCTAATCACTCACCACGTATAGACCTGCGGCGAGTGATCAGATGATCGGTGGGCGTGCACTGACCAGCCGCGGCGGGATTAAACCTTAATAGGTCAACGAGGTCAACTCCTCCTGTGCAAATTGTGCTTCAGTTCGCACACTTAGGAGCTCCGCGGGTCCCTCAACCAGGTGAATTCTTCCTAATTCGATTTTCCCTCTGATCGTGAATTCGTCCTTTAAGGTTAAGAAGCAAGTAGAGAAGTCCATGGCTGAGGTTTACAAGACTTAATGCAATCCCATGGCTTGCTGATGAAATTTTTGGGCCCTAGTATAAAGAATTTTCATTCTCACTTGCGTAACTGAGCTATTTGCTTATTAGAACGCCTTGTCTCTGCCTTCTGGATTATTTCGTCCCGTGTGCTTCTTGACATTGCCTAGGTGTCTATGTTCACGAAGTGCAACACAAAAGGAATACCTTATTTACTACATCTTCGGTGGCTTCGTTAGCCTTTCTCAACAGCGTAATCTAGCTACAGTTTTTATACTGACACTTTGACTGAGTGTTTTTCCGCCAGTAAGAAGGAAAAGTTAGGCATTATTCTCAGTCCACCCCACTTCTCAAAGCAGTGATGACAATAAGATGATGTCGGTGGAATATGGGAGTGTGGTGTACGGTGCAACAGCGAAGGGAAACCGATAATATCGCTCGAAAGCTCGAGAAATGGGGGTGGACCGAGAATAATGCCTAAGTTTTCCTGTTCCTGATCGCGGGTAAAGCCAACCTGAAGTTTCACATAGCACTTACACTGTTCGAACGAACGAATCTATTCAAGCGAATAATCAACTATAGAAAGAGGAAAACCACATTATTGTGTTCTGGAAGAATATCACTGCTGAACATGCAGTTTCGTCAGCGATTTCTGATCGGGATTATTACTGCGGCGCACTTTGGCAGAAGATACTGAGCATTCCACACTCAAAACTCATGACACACAAAAACTCACACTGAGTAAAAGAACATGTTTTGTAGATCTGATATTTATTAATGCACAGAAGGCGATGTTACAATCGTTGATTGCAAGGCTATAATCACATAATATAAATAGACGATAAAAACTAGCAGATTAAACGGGTAGGTGCGGCGTTTCGCGCCAAATCAAAAAGCGTATTGATATTTTATAAGTTAATGAGAGAAAGCATTTTTTAGATTCAAAACACCGCGCCCAACCACCTCTATGGAAAATTTGCATTGGGACCGTTACTGAATCGACCCATCATTCAATTTTACAGGACCAGTTGAAGGAAATAATGATCACGATATGCCAATGGGGTGGAGCGCTTTTTTTGCTGCTCGGAAATTGTATGTGTACGTGGGTGGGTCTGTGATACAAGTGACAACGGCAAGCCATGAGCAACCTAATCTCTACATTCAAATCCTAGATAAAAGACCGGCGTATAAAGCAGGGGCAATTAAGAAAATAACATTTACAAAAGCAAACAAAAACGCTCACGAGACACGAGCAGAGCGCTGCAAAAGCGTTTCTGCTCTTAACGGCCCAACTTCTTCAAAGATAATTTGGGAGAATGAAACAAAAATACATGTGAATGATTTAGGTGTGAAGGAGAATAAATGATGGGACAAAAAGAGAGAAGAAAGATAGCAAACATAGAACTCTCTTAGAGTAATCTGCTGCGGTGAATTAAAGACGCGTAGAGACCCGAAACTACCGTAACTCGAACCACATAAAATGGTGTATGCAAGCAAATGAAATGATGGCTAGAAGAACACAAAATCACAATGACAATCAATGATCCACGCGTTAAGGACCTAATGTAAGGGGATATATAGTGGTGAACTAGTAGGGTGCGCGTGGATGTAATTGGAAAGCTGAGCGCAGAGCGAAAGGGCGAAAGAGCAAGGAAGACGATGCGAGATGGAAATTCGAAGAAAACGCGTACCCGTCAAGCGAATGAACACATCCTATTGGCACCGGACGTATGATGAGAGAACACTTACTTTTATGCATTGAAATGTCACGAAAAGGAACGAGAATTACAGATCACCCGGTTCAGCTTTGTGGTGGTGGCGCCGAATAGTTGTCCCTTTGACGATTTGGACCATCAAAACCAATATTGGCCTGTGACGAACCGTCACCAGTTGTTGTTGAAGAGCCGGATGCCGGAGTCGAGGACGACGACGAACCATGAATCGCCAGCAGCTGCGCAGCCAACGTAGAGCAATCCAATCGGCGAGGTGATGGTCTCTGGAAAAGAGCAAGTCAAGGATGTTCAATCGGAAAAAAGTGCCTTTATATTTCAAAATGAAATAGCAATATCCTAAAATATTTTTCTCACTACAAAGGAATTCATATCCCTTTAGCGTGAGAATTTTGAGCAGATGTCGCCACCTTTCCTCAGAATGAACAAAAAATGCGGTGCAAGTCTATTCTGATACTTGAGGACGCTGAAAAATTTAGGAATATTACTTTTGCATTCCATTAAATACTGCCTGATCACTTCAGGCTGAAGCACTTACGGTAGACCTCCTTGAGCCTGACGACGGTGACAGATGACGTCATATTCTGAAGACGGTGAGGGCAGTGAAGGAGGGCCTGCGTTACTTATAGAGGGACACTTAGGGAATACTCTGCTGAGGAACTCCCGTCAACGACGGCAATCTCTGCGAAGAAAAAAGGGCCGAAGTCCGACATAGGCAAAATGTCTTTTTTTTTTGGCCCCCCCCCCCTGTATATGTTCTGTTCAAAGATTTCAATAGAAATCTAGCTCATCGGAATGACAAAAGCGAGCAGATACCAACTATGTTTCGAAACTGAAAGAAAATGAACTGACTACACGAAGATGTAGCATAAAAATTAGCTTCTAGAGAAACTTGCCTCAGCACTATTCGATATGATTGGAGGTGGACTGGCCGGCAATGACAAGGTGGAAGCTTGGTGACGATGATAATGATGAGTGCTTTGGAGGCTCTGTGACATCGGATCACCACATGATCCCTCTGGTGCTGCAGTCGCAGCTCTAATCATGCGCTGTTGACGCTGGCGAGCACGTAGCTCTTCGAGTTCGAGCCGCTGTTGTTCACGAAGGTGAAGTTGTTGCATGCGATGTCTAAATGAAAGTGGAAGTTAAACATCTCATAAGCGTGGAACCTGATAAGACATTTCACCTTCGTATGAGCGCCAAAATTTCCGGATCATCATCGTCTTCATCTTCAGCCTAAACAAGGAAAACACACTTTGACATCACCTCAGAAACAAGAAGGAAAAGAACGGTCTTGCTAATAGCGCTAAAAGGCTAATATCTAAGAAACGTGCACGTCTTCCGACAGCTAAGGAAAAATTAGTCAAGTTGGCCGTTCAGTTCTTTCATGCTGTTGAGAAGAAGACAAGGCTACATACTTCGGTTATGAATAAAAGCTAATCATCTAGCAACATAGGGCAGTAAGCTTAAGGCCGATGTCAGACTTTGCGAATCGCGCGATTCGCTAGCGTCCGCGGTCGCGTTGCGGTACCAGCCAATTGAGTGATTCACTGGCCGCGACGCGACCGCAGACGCTAGCGAATCGCGCGATTCGCAAAGTCTGACATCGGCCTTAAAACAGAGAACAACAAGGACTTTCAGGCTAGTTTGATTCGGAACGAGGGGTTTCCCACAGTGAAAAGCCTCAATTTCCTTGAAAAGCTGTGCTACGAGTTATATAATGAAGAAAAAATGTGATTTAAAAAAAATTGGTCACAAGTAAATGCATAAAAATTACAATTGTAAAATTAATGAATGAAATAAGGACCTGGCAATCAAAATCTGATTCTGAAGTCGGCACTGGGCTGAAGAGAGGTGGTGTACCGACGTGAAACATGGCACTGCTACCGCACATGCTCGAAACGTCGTCGCGATGCGTCGATGTGTCGTCCCGACAGACGCTCGGCCGCATGCTAGACGTGCCGAGCGTGCACGATAGGGCGCTCTCCAAATTCTTGAACGCAGCCAGGCTGTCCATGGCACGTAAACGCTGCGTCAGATCTGGTGCCGTGTTTGAGGGTAACAATTGGGATGTTGTACCATTTGATTCCATAACCAGCCCCAGTCTTCTCTCCGGAGACGGCGACTCATCTTCCGACGTAGCAGCAACAGAAGCACACGGTAGAGAGCAGGTGGTGGACAGCTAAGAGAACAAAGACACTATCTAACTAACCCGAAGCACAACATATAAGCAATTTGATTATGTTACTGTTAGATAAAGCAGACGAGCTCGATAAAACCGAAACAGAGGTTAGGAGAAGCAATTAGCAACAAACACCGGCTGACATCGGAATTATCGAAGCAAAATAAAGAAATTTTCACACTTAGTTACTTCACAGCGCTATTAGCCGTATGTCACCATGCCCTTATGAGGACGCTCCCCCTTCCTCGATGCTATCGTTGAGTAAGGAAAAAGTTCCGCTGTAAAACCCGCCGTGTGCCTTCCTTCTCTACCGTGGCGGTCCGAACAGCGCGGGAACTCAGACAGTAGAGAGCTACAACAGCAGAAGGTCGGGATAGCATCCGTAATCGTTGGCTAGTCCCACAGTGAGAGCGCTACGAGAGTAATTAAAGTTTTCTCCATACTTCTCTATCTCAGAAGCTAGAGCGCAGGCGGAATAAGAAAGCCACTCAACAAGTGCTTTCGCCTATGCTAATTGGATGTCCAAGAAGAAATATATCTACTATAAATGAAGCAGTTAACTTAGGAAAACGGGAGGGAGGCGTGTTTTGCTGCCGAAAGGTCGCTCGTGGCGACCTAACAGAGCCTTATCGGTGGTGGTATCCCTTTGCGGTTGACCACGCTTACCATCTGACTAACCTCCCCACCATCCCTTGCCGTTGAACTCAAGTCGTTCTAGCCCAGAATCAGAGCCGAGCATCAACGCTGATGTCGTCAGCATTGATTAGACCCTCCCAAGTCGAAAACCAGAGTGGAACAAGGCCCCGCTTTGCGGCTTTTAGAATGTTTCCCCTTTCCCTTTTCTTCACTGCTGCACATCTTAGCAGCTCTACTTACATTCCCAGAGGGAGGCCAATATATCATGCCAGCTGCCTCCGAAATTCGGCAAATGTTTCAGTGAGCGCGGTCACAGTGACCATGAGCCGCTGCTTAGGCCAAAAGGCGCAGATGATGACAGACGCGAATCGAAACACTGTATCTAGTTAGTATGTCGCTACGGTTAAGGGCTTTCAACTTCCCTAGCAACTTGAGAAAGGATAGCATCGACGGAGGAGGGCGTGTCCCTGCACAAAAATATGTCACAGAGCCCCTTGTGAAGAATCGCGAGAAACGTCACCTACATGGTAAAGTTCTTGAGTTGAACTAGTGAAGTGATGTGGCGGCGTTACACGTCCATGCTCGGTAACGGACAACGGTGTTGGCTCCCTTTGCTCCGGATTGATTACCTAATGAAAAAAAAACGATAATCATGAATTTACACTCTTTTAGAAGCTAGAAGAAGCTCTATTAATAGTTGATATTTTCTTCATGTTGAATCCAAAACATTCTTCATTTTAAATGCAGCTTTGTCTACTGAAGAAGGCGTCGGGGTCAAACATGAAACATCCTACGAATGGAAAGGAATGATTGAACTGGACCGCTACAAAAAGATATCGAAACAGTTGCATGATATGTGAGTTGAGAGAAAAAAGTGAGGAGAGCGGCAAAATATGAAGGCAGTAGAAGAGGGCGGCTTTTTAGGTATGTGTCGTTTAGTGTAACAATTGCCACTGGATTCGCTTTGCACAAGAAATGGAAAGGGTTGGGTTATGACGAAACTAATACGGCGGATATTTTATTTGATGAAGAAATTCATCGCTCACAGAGCCAATGAATTAAATATGATAAAAAGGAGAAAAACATGTGGAAAAAGCTTACTTTTCTGAAGAGCTTGGGCTAGGACCGTTTAATGTATCGACATGTAGTTCATCCGTTCCACTGGCTGTCGTTTGACTTGACACGTGTTCATCCTCTTCCTAAAAATATCGGACTGATACTAGACCAAAGTAAACTTGAAAAAACGCTGAGTCAAAATTCGAAAGTTGAAAAAAAAAGAAACTCATGCAATGTGTTAAGATTTTATCAAAGTTCTATAAATTGTTAAGGGAACTTTACGGATAATCTAGCATCAAAGTGCACTGAATCGTCCATGGAATTACTTGGACGGCTCAACAGTTATGTAATCAGATCCAGATGTCAAAATTCTACAATGTAAACATACAGCTTCTCAAGTCCACCAAGGTTATGTTACATCAATTTGGCTCCGCACATAAACGCTTGTGCCACACGAGGCTTCAGCATATGGATCAGGAGCCGCCTATTCGGTGCCAGGAGTGTTCTGCACCGAATTAGGAGGTCTATTTCGGCACCGAATAAGAAATTTCTTCCTCAGTACCGCAAAATTTGGTGAATGCTGCGACCACCTTGGGTGCGGACTACGCTGAGTCATGTGCTCCGTACATGATGGCCCACTCATATCCACTCAAAATTTGACTCGCCCCAAGTGGTTATTCAAGTAATGCCAAATATCATAACAAATAATAATTATGAATGAAGTCATTATTACAGTAAGAATTGAAAAATGAAATTTAGAAGAAACAAAACCGAGTCCAATACGATGTAAATAAATTACCTTTGGCGGTTGGCTCGGCTGATTTGTTGGCAATTGATGTAGAGCAGTTTGCGGTTGCTGCACTGGATGAGGCACTTGCTGCTCTTCCCGTTGCTGCTGTTGGATCTGGCTGAGTACTGCGAGTTTCTCACTCAGACCTAGATGAGCACTGGCAAGATCATAAAGTGATCTGTTAGTTGATCTTCAAAAAGAGACACTTCCATACCTGCCAAATTTGTAGCAATTTCACCAGTATGAGCAGGAGTGTGAGGAAGGCTGGCAGTAGGATGAAGAGCAGGATGTGCACTGTGCACCTGCAATCGCAGCATGAATTTGTCGAATTGCCGCATAGATTAACTAGGCGATGGACACATTGAATCAATCAACATTTTATATGTACGACATACGGAAGAGGGCGTTACTTCTCTTGCGCAAAGGAAACCGGTCCACGACGTCACAGGAGCAGGACGGACCAATGCATTTCAGCGCTGGTCACGTTCACGGTTTTTGTATGAATATTCCATGTAATAATATATATTTCTTTGTACCGTGATGGTAAATCCTCCAGGATGAAAATCTATTGCTGTTCAGATCATTAATCACTAATACAATGCCAAAGACACCTCTTTTCCTGTTCGCGACTTGAAACAGGATGCGATCATCAATCAAACGCATGTAAAATCTCTAGTGTTCCGCTTAGTTATCACGATGAATCATAATTCCTCCATAGATCCGAGATAAAATGCAGCTGCATCACTTTGCTTTCGTCATGGTTGCTTTGGGGTGCATCAATTCAATCGAGGCTTAGCCACGTAGCCGCAACCGAGATATCTCGTTGGCTTTATGCAGCCCAAGCATTGAGGAGTATGGGGAGATAATTTTGAATTATCCAGCCATAGAACACGAAATATGAGATACTTATCTCGTTGAGACATACAATCCGCGTTATTTGTCAATATTTATAACTCTCTTATGCTTATGTTGGTGCTCCTATTACTACTCTCTATCGTCTTACGTTCTATTCCTTCTGACAGACAGAAAAATACTCTCGGACGGGAATTTGGACCGTCGAATGAATGAATGACTGTCAGTAGCATTGCCACCAGGCACCTAGTGACACAGTAGTCTAAAAAGAAGCAGAAAACAGGAAACGAAAAGAAATACCTGGTGCACAAGTGCCGTTGTTGACTGCGTCATGGCCTCGGGGATCGCCCCATGCACAGAAGGACATCCAGCAGATACCGTTGATACACCACTGACCTACAAAAAAAGTTCCTACTCGTGTTCTAGAGGAAACCCTTGAAGTTCTATAGTAATGAATTTACTGTAATGGATACCTTTCTCAATTCGGAGTCTAACTTCTGTAAAGCAGAAAGATCAACGTGGGGAGCAACGTGAGTTGGAATTGAGAGCGAAGCAGTACTTGTAGCATGACACACACTGAGACTTGTGGCAGGTACCACGGCTGCAGTTGTCGCATCAGATGTTGCTTGCACGGAGGAAGTCGACGAAACGGTTGGCGCCGTAGGAATGGAAATCGTAGCGGGTGAGACCATCGGTACAGGCATCTGTAGAAGAACGGAGGCAGTGATGAGCACTTACATGATAACAAATATCATGAGAAATTATGGCAAATCGGAGTGAAAAGAACTGCATAGACAAAGAAATCGACCAAAAATCTAAACATACCGTCATAGTTGCAGCAACATTGGTGGTAATAGGAGGCTGAACTGCGATTGGTGTCGATGCTGAACCCATGCTTGACATGCTGGCCTCCGTGTGGGTGGAGGTTGAAGAGGAAAAGCCGGATTCAACGGAAGAGGTCGGCGCAAGCGTTGCCTGCACTGGCACACTTTGCACCTGAAGAAGTCGTTTGAAAACATGAAATTGATTTGACAGCGAAATGGAATACTGTACCTTGAATCTGCTCCCAGTACTTGTGTTACTGGTCACAGAGGATGTGTTTGAATGAGCTGTGGTGCTTGGTGACGATCCATTCGACAGCATAGCAGGGGCAGGTGGACTGAGCTGTTGTGCCTGAGCCTGAGATACGGGAGGAAGCGTCGTGGTTTCAACCGTTGTAGTTGGATGCGATGCGGGAGGCATGGCATTAACCACGGACGGAGTAACCTGAGGTTGAAAACTTTGTAATTACAGTTGATTCAAAGACACTCGAAGGAAGAGCTTACTTGGAAACGTGAGGGTTTCGCCACATGAGCGGGAGCAGCTGTAATGGTGCTTGTAGACGAAGCCGTGCTAATGACATGGACCGAAGATGACTGCGGAACATTAGCTGGTTGTACAGGTGTTGTGGCCGAACTCGTCGAACTGTCACCATCCACACTACGACTCATTCCCGAAACAGACTGTAGCGTCGGCTGAACAGTGTTTATAGAAATTACACAAATGCACGTATAATACTATAATACTTGAATGGTTCCGTTGTACTCATGATGTGGCACAAATCTGTGTGCTATGCCTTATGAAAAAATATCGGGAAAATAAAAGATCTGCCTTAGAATTCGATAATCCAGGCACCTTTAAATAACAGTGTGTGCAATTTTTTTGCGTATTTTTATTTATTTATTTACTTATTGTTACTACTGCATGAATGAGGCAACAAAGTTACTTTAAACTCATCAGTAGTTCAAAAGTTGCCTGCCACTGATAAGGTAAATGAGAATGTGAAAACAGATCATCTCACCAGGGAAGGCATTCAACTTCCCATGGAACTTCGAATTGACACCCTGATAAATCGAAAGAACTTCAACACTGATAAACTGCAAAATGAACCTGCCAAGGAAGTTGTGAGCAGTCAAAGTTGGCTAAAGTAAAGCGTTACATATGAACCGTGCTATGTTCCAGGCTTTCAATGTCGCCGCGGAGTAGCGATAGTGCCCCGCTCTTCCACCCGGGAGGTCATAAGTTCTCTTCCTGTTGGAGTGCAAATTTTGAGAGCACTCCCACTACTCCACGGCGACTCTGAAAGCTCGGAGGCTAGCACGGTTAATACGTAACGCTTACTTCAGCCAACTTTGACTGCTCACAACTTCCTTGGCAGGTTCATTTTGCAGTTTTAGTTTCCATATTTGTAATCAGCGTTTGAAGCTCTATCGATATATCTGGGTCTCAATTCAAAGTTCCATGGGAAGTTGAATGCCTTTCCTGGTAAGTAACATATTATTTATTTCAGCTAATCCATGCATGGAAAGGACGCTACCTGACCAAAGACAATTGCACAGCTATAGGCTAGCTCTTAGATGGACAGGCAGATGTTCGGCCAAATATCACCTTCGTATACGCAGCCAGGAGATATACAAACCTCATAAAGGTTGCTAGGAGTTTTTGATTGTTAGCTGCTATTTTGGATGTAGTTCGCTTTGCCATGCGAAGATTATTACAAGGATGCTGAGATATGGGCAAACCAATCCGACCTGGGCAGGACTCATACCGGTATCTCTCGCTGATCATTCAAGTGTGCTACCAGTTAAAGTACCGGGGCAACAGTGCCCAGTTGATAGGAGTAAGGACGCAAGCAGGGCGTGAAGCGTTTCCCGGTTGTCATCTCTGGAAGCAGTAGCCCTCACCAGCGCGCTAACCCGATCAGTAAGGCTAAGTGAATGTGCGAGATGAGCTGCAGCTTTTATAACTTCAACCATCCCCTGTTAATTGAAGAGAATGAAGAGAAAAATCATTGTTGGGATCTTTCTGGTTGTCTACTTTATTGAAGAATGAGCGAATACAGCTGCGTCTTACCAGTGAGCGACTAAAGTACCGAGCACCTGGAAAGTTTCCTGGAGCAGGAAAAATATCTCAACGTAAATTTTAAATTGGTTGCAATGACCTTTGGCCTAGACTGGAACAAAAGAACGCTTGTTCTGCAAAAGAAAATGTCTCGAAGATTTCAGTAGGCCAAGGTGACGGTTCCTGATTACATCACTGACGACATGAACTCCCAGTCTCCCTTAAAGGCTCCACAGTAGTCACTCCCAAACCATACTTCGCAGTCACTAGCTTGCGCTCTTGGAGTTTCACTGAACCAAGTATTCAAACAGCTCATTATCAGGTGCACTTTAAAGGCTACTCTGAAGAACGCGGGAGCGGCATACATGTACGACGCCCGCTAGGCTAAAAGTGTTTGTACAATTAAAATTTCGACATTTTTTTTACGTCAACAGTACCATCCAAAATACACTGAGTTAGAATTCGATGTTCGAAGGAAAGTAAAGGTTCAGAATAAGCTGGAACGGTATCTTTGCCGCGACCGTGACGTATACACCCAGCGAACTTAGAGTGACCTAGTCTACCAAGTCAGCTCCTCTCCCTTCTTCAACGGAACACCAGCGCCCTCAAATGCCATTTCGGGTTTGCTCCATTCCATTTAATCTCCACCGCAGACAATCACAGCAATCTTTATATTTCGTCAACGAATACTCTAGTGTGGTGAACATTCTTTAACGATTGATGAAAAAACAGAGATCGCAAAAACTTATGGATATCTTTTGTTGTGAATACACTGCTATTTTTCACCAGCTTAGTTATGATCATATCTTTCTTTGCAAATCGCTGTTCTGAAGTAAAAAAGCATCTCACATACCTTAGGGGGCTCGACCCTGCTAAGAGGTGGCGAGGCAGACGCAGTCGCTTTCGCTGTATTCGATGGAGTAGGTGCTTGCGGCACTGTTGGAGGAACCGGTGTTGCAGCTTGGACAGATGGAGAAACCTTTTCAGTGGTCGTTTGGCATGTTGCCTTGACCTGGGACGAAACTGGAGCTGGCGATACGCCGGCCTAAGAATTAGAAATATGTGCTGAGATTAGAAGAGAAAAAAATCGTTATT